TATACAGGACAGACACAGTTCAGTAGACTGTCCTATGAGCTTATTTACGTCTATATTATATAAGACGGGGCTCAGGGTCTCAGCGATCTCCTCCGCAGCCCGATGGTCAGCGTCTGCCCCCAGCCGAGCCTCATTAATGCAGGATGAGAGGGAGGGGCGTGGTCTGGGTGTCAGTTCGGCCCCGCCCCCGGTGATGGAGCGGCAGTGGCTGGAGATGTAGACACTCGGCTGTCGCTGTGCACGGAGACGGGCGGCGGAGGAGCCCATAGACTGGGGGGGACCGGCACCGACTCGGGGAATCTGTGTGCAGCGTACATCTTTACCGGAAGCAAAGGATTAAATGGACCTTCAGTGGCCCGAACAGGGCTCAGTGATCTCTTGCCGCTGCTACAAGCGCTGCACCTTCCGCTATGGGCAACACGGTGCACAAGACCTTGCCAGGTGAGGCATCCCTCCTGTGTAGGAGATCAGTCATCTGGAGACAGAGGTGTACCCGTGTCATGTTCATCTTCCCTGTGATCACTAGCCTGTCATCTATGTGCTCCTCTATTTAGGTGTTCTCCTCTTGTTGGCTGATTGTACTTATTGTAGGAAGAACCCAGTGAATGAGATCGTTGGCTGTGTGATCTGTGCGATCCTTTCCTCAATAGGGTAGAACGGGGCTGGGAATTGTTCAATTTCAGGAACGATCGCTGCGATTCATGGAGGTGATACAATGTAATAAGTGCGGTGGGGGCGGGGCACGGTAGAAGCATACATAGGTGAAGCAGCCAGACTCGTAAAGCTTTTGAATCTCAACGGCTGTTACCGTGCTGCCAGCGCTGTGCTGGTTAGCAAGTAACTGTCAGCCAGTGATCACAATGGGCACAGCCCAGGCAGGTGTCTCCATTGATCCCTTGTACATTGCTGGGGAAAATGCCTCTATTGATGATGGTGCACTGGGTGGGAAGGAGGGCACAGGGACTTTTTATTAAGTTCAGCAATGCATGTCCACACAAGGCAGCCTTGTATTTCCATTCACAAGTCTGTTTACTGGAACTGATGTGCCTAGAAATGTTTCCCAGAATCAGCAATCATACTGCAAGCAATGACATAAGCTGCCCCAGCCCCTATTGTGAGAACCCAGCCGTAGGTGTATTGAGCGCAGTAACATTTATGCATTTAAAGAATTGCTCCACCTAATGTTTTTACTGAGCCTGTTTGCATATTTACTGCCTTTTATTTGCATCCACATTGGAGGCTCTGTGCTTCTGCCTTCATCCAGCTGCGTGTTTCCTCAATCTAAAATAAACTAGGAAGTTTGTACGCCTGCACTTGGTCTGCAGAACTAGGGACCCAAGCACAGTGAATCTGACATTGGAGCTCTTGATGATATAATTTTTCTTTATTATTGATATTACACAGGATTTATACAGCACCAACACTTTGTGCAATGCTTTACAAAATTGAGAAAGTACAGTGAAAATACAATGAGGGTTGCTAAATGCATAGCTTTATAAAACCATGCTGCCATTGCGGAGTAAATAGCTGTGAAAAACTGTGCTGCCATTTTTGAATGCATAGTTTTGAAAAAACATTCTGCCATTGCTGAATGCATAGCTGTGGAAAAACCATGCTGCCGTTGCTGAATGCGTAGCTGTGGAAAAACCATGCTGCCGTTGCATGCGTAGCTGTGAAAAATCATGCTGCCGTTGCTGCATGCGTAGCTGTGTAAAAACATGCTGCCGTTGCTGCATGCATAGCTGTGGAAAAACCATGCTGCCGTTGCTGTGGAAAAACCATGCTGCCGTTGCTGAATGCGTTGCTGTGGAAAAACCATGCTGCCGTTGCTGAATGCATAGCTGTGGAAAAACCATGCTGCCATTGCACAATGCATAGCTGTGAAAAACCATGCTGCCATTGCTGAATGCATGGCTGTGAAAAAATCATGATGCCATTGCTGAGAACATAGCAGAGAAGACCATACTGCTATTGCGGAGGACTAAGCTGTGAAAAAATCATGATGCCATTGTTGAGTACATTGCAGTGAAAACTCTACTTGCCACTCAGCCAGACTCCGCAGGGAATTTTTAACATGTTATTTTCCACTATGGAATTATTACAGCATTGTTCCTTTAATGCAGACAGTGCCTCATCAAAATCACGTCAGCTTGCCTACCTAGTGAATAGCTGATTGTTTTGTTGTCATCAGATTCTCTCTCAGGTAACTGGTTATTCTGAATCGTGTATGACAGCTGCTCTGATCTGGAGAATTCACTACATCAGAACTGCTTCCTGTCACCTCTGGTATTTGCCACATGGCAGACAGAAGCCCCCAAGGCAGTGATGCTGATATCCTACAAGTCTTCTATTGTTTTTACTCATTTATTGGTTTTCGAGAACTTTGGCTACGTACAGAAATGCCCCCACCCGGTATCGCATCTCTGTGCTGATCTAAGAAACTGTACAGTGAAGCCGGTAAAGGTTCCCATATCCAGAGGTGAACATGTATTCTTCCCGAGCCTTTGCTGGCTATATGGAATATACATTATAGGCCCAAAGTGAGAGAATATCCCTGTGAACTTTTATAAAGAGAGAATGTCACTGGTGCTTTCCAGTGGGCATGAAATCCATGTCAATCCCTACACATCTATAATACATTTACAATCTGTCTATATGTACCAATCTCCTTTTGCTGCTGCATTCATTGGATGCATTGAAGTAATTAAACAGATCATCTAGCACTTGGCAGATAGTCCTTCGTACGCTTTCTCCATATACTGCCATCTGACTCTGCACGCAGCATGTGCTGGAAGTTCCAAATTGGCTTATTTTGTCACCTTTGTTCTCCTTTTTCCATCTTATGGTTGGAATATATTTATTATCTCATAACTGCACAGTTAGGCTGTTGGTTATATTGTAGGAAAAGCTTTCCTGATGGTGGTTGTGATACCTCATTGGGTTTCCCCTTGAAATCAAAACGCTTTATAATTGATATATGCGTATGTGTGACCACAGATTAGAAAGATTAGCAGTTTCCCATAACCGGATCATGCTCGCTTGCCATTAACCCTTTCTTTGCCCCAGGTCCGGCATGAAGCTGTTTCAGAGCAGGGCACATGCTATTCGCGTTTTAGATGAAATCTGTTTTTCAATGTTCTCGAGCTGTTGCTCTGGGAGATCGGAGTATTTCCGATGCTCCTGAACATCTGATTGACTGACTGAAAATGGCATATGTGAAAAGCCATCTATCACAGTTAAAGAATAATATGGCTGTTTTATAGGAATGATAAACAGTTGTAAACCATTGATTTTTGTTTTTAATGGTCGTAAATTAATGATAGTGGCTTTAGGTTTTATTTGTATTTATTTAAGGCTATGCTTTGTTTCTGATTCACCCTTTGTGTACGTGAAGGTGCTAGACTTCTGCAGGAGCTGGCTATGATTCCTAAGAGAGGATTAGCCATGTGCCCCTATAACTGGAGAGGGGACAGATGCCACGGAGACTCTGCTGCCATTGTCCCACACTTGCTGCACACATGCTACAAAGGAACAAAACAGCTGAGATGCCAAAATTAAATCTGAGACATGACATCCAAGCATTGAGCCTGTTCTGGGCAAAATTAGACCCCCACACTCTTCACAATGTTACAGCTCAATTGACCGGTCTGTTTAACCCTTTCCTTTACCACTGGTCAATGTAAAGTTCTCCATAACCACAGGCTATCGCAGTTTACCACTTGTTCTGTCTGTGCTTAATTTATGGAACTGCTTATTAGTCTCATACCATCAAATTTAAACCTCCACTGATCATCAATACAGCCAAATACAATATATCCTTTTCTTAAATTGTATCCATTGATTTTGTGCACAGTTAGAAATGTTTGTAAATATACTTTTTGTTTGGATTTTCCTGCTGCTTATCAAACTGTCAAGATTGCACACAGAGGAGAACTAACCTGCAATTTGAATCAAGTGTGTGTTTTTACATGTGTGCTGTTTTATATTGGTAGAATCAAGCAGCCCGTGAGTTTTTGTTCCAGTAATGTGTATTTCTGCTTGAAAGAATCAGACATTATCTTTTAAAAAGCCAAAAGCAGAAGGACAATGAGGGCCCCTGGCTGATGGTTTGTGCGTAGAGAAATTGTGAGCTCGTCAGCTGGTCTTCCAGATGAATCTTAGAGACTGTGGCCCTGTCCTTGAAAGCCCTCCTGCTTTAACCAGTTGCCTTTTTGGCTGTGGAATAAATAAAGGGCCTTTCTGGCATGTAGGCATTTGTTGAATTTACCAGAACTATGTGGTGACAATTTCCCAGTATGCATCTCCCATCTTAGAGGGTTATGGGTTTACAATGGATATTTAATAAATGAAGGGTCTCCTCTGGTAGGTAGTTCAGGTAAGTTAAACAAATGTCTACCTACCAGAGAGACCCTTCATTTATTAAATATCCATTGTAAACCAATAACCCTCCAAGTTGGAAGGTGCATACTGGGAAATTTTCACCACTTAGTTAAGGTAAGGTCAACGAATGTCTATGTGGTGACAATTTCCCAGTATGCGCCTCCCATCTTGGAGGGTTATGGGTTAACAGTAAATATTTAATAATTTAATGAATGAAGTGTCTCCCTGGCACACAGATGTTTGTTGAATTTACCGGAACTATTTTGGTAATAATTTCTCAGTGTGCACCTCCTTTATTGGAGGTTTGTGTGTTTTACAATCCATGTTTAATCTGGGACAAGGGATGAGTTATTCAAACAGGGCTTCTACAAAGTTACACTTTTTAGAAAATGTAATTTGATTTTTATTTTATTTTTGTTTACATTTACATGGACCCTTTATTAAACTTATACTTTGCATAAATCAATGTCAGAATTAGCAAATTATACTACTGATTGGGATATAGAAGCTTTTATTGCAATTGATACAAAAAATGCTGCCCTCCCAGCTTAGGTCAAATGGTCTCATCACGATATATTACTGCAGAGAATATATTGTTTTCATTCATCAGGGAAAAAAGAGAATCAATAAGGTTGGCTCCATGAATATAGATAATTATAGACCATACATAGAAACAAGACTTCAATGCATCAACACAAATTGAAAGAATGTTATTATGTGGATGTCTTTCACATGTATATCTAAGAAACATTACAAAGAATATTGTTTCCCTTTCCGTTTAAGTCCTAAGGTGTTCTTTCTAAAAGAAAGGACTCTGTTGTGTCCTTAGGGCTAATTCACATCAGCCACAGTGCATTCTGGCCAGAACGCACTGTATCACATTGCGGCCGGCTCACTTTGTTTCGGGACGGGAGGGGCATGGCGGTGCATTGAGCTTAAAGGCACCGTAGCCATGCCCTCTGGCCGCAATGCAATTGGCCGCACGAGAACGCGTGGCACATCAATGCCTGCATTCCGGTCAGAAATAATAGTGCTGGCAGCATTTTTCTGACCGGAACGCA